GACACACATCCCAACGTACGTTTGATTGCCACCATGAGTGCCGGCCATGATGAACCAACATTCTTTGTCAATACGAGCATCAGGGTTAATGGATCACACAAAGATGGAACCTTCTGTGTATCCCCCCCCCCGCCCACCCACTGGGAAATTAGATAACTCCTACATAACGCAGCACGGCAAGTAAGTTACACACAGGTGCAACGCAGTTGGCTGATTACTGACTCCCAAACTAGGTTCGTCAATTTATAAATGTGTCGTAACCCTCCACCACCCGACACGGCCAAACAGTAAAAAATGTGTCACGTTTACAAAGGGCAAATAGTTCACTACTTTAGCCCACCGGTGTGTTGAAGAGTGAATCAACATCATTTAAAATTTTAGTACGACGTTTCGCTGGTAATTACATCCAGCATCATCGGGCAATTCGCAAGAATGGTAAAGCCCTCACTTGCTCCCGGTCTTAAATAGAGCAGCAGGGTGACGTCATCATTTAACTCATTCAGGTGCAATGATTTGAGGCGGAGGGGGGGTATTGTAATTATATAATCGATTGGTAATCAATCAATGGTTATGATTAGTAATGAGTTGTATATTAGTAATTAGAGGGTTATGACAGATTTATAAATAACGCGATCTAACCCAAAAACCTTTATTATGAATATTGGTCGCGAAAGCCTACGTGTTAAACTAGGTTCGTCAACCCGTTTTGTGCAGACATTCGTGTTGCCAACCTCTTGTACTCAAAGTTGGTTTTCTCCGGGTTCTCCAGTTTCCTACCACACTCAGCCCAACTCTCATTTTACAGTGGGCCAATGGATGTCACGTAATGCAAGTTGCTCTTCTTTCGCACCGCACGTAGCCAACCATGATAAAATCGGAGGTGCGGGGGAAGGACAACCAAACACAAAAAGCGGTTCCAAAGAATTTACCTTTCAATCTAGATGATGATTTAACAGCGCAAAGCTCCAGTGGCTTCCTAATATCGGACGGGAGAGCGTTGCAGACGATGGCCAGCTAAAAATCCGTCGCCGCTGCGAGGATGACCGGAGTCCGCTTGATGGTTTATGTCAAACATCGACAATGCGATGGGATCCCTCCTGAAAAAAATACCCGTGGATTCAGCAAGCCTTTTCCTGGGTTAATAATGCACTTCGTTACTTTGGCGGAGTCTGAATATGCCCGTCACCTCGCGTCGCACGGGGTTTTCGTCCAGGCACTTCGGTTTCCTCTGGCACGCACCACAGCGGCGAGAAGTTAACTACCTCGCCTGGTATTCAGGTCGTGGGTTCGGTCCCGACCCTGACGTCTGTATATTTGGGGCATGCGTCACTCTCCCCACGGTGGCGTGGATTTCTCTCTCCGGGTCCTCCGGTTTTCTCTCCACATTTAGAATCAACGTGCGTTTACGGGCATTTGGCCGCTATGCATTTCCACTTGATAAGCCACTTCGTTGGGCGATCACTTGTGGCAAGGTCGCTTCTGAAAAAGAGCTACGCAGCTCAGTGGGCCTTAGCAGTTTTAGTAAACAAGCATTAGTAGCCGTATTGGCCAGACATTCGAAACCAGGACCCTCCTGAATAAGGTTGTCAACCTGCGGCTCTTTAAGGAACCGCTTCGTGACGTTATTTATTCAGGACCCACTGTCTCGTATTCACCACCCGACATTGTGCGGCTCTTGAAATATTGAGGTTTTTTTTTACCGAATTAAAAAAAAACGGCTCTTCTTGTTGCTGTGGTTGCCGACCCCCTGGTTTCGCTTTCCCAGGCAAAGTCATTTAATCGTGATTGTTAACAACAAATAAACAAAACAAATAATCTCATTTCCGAAGCAAGACTGGATTCTTTTTTTGTTGTTTGAGCCTTTTGCTTTGGTGCCATTTCTTTGATTCGTTTAATTCACCTTTCATTTCTGACGGCTTTCATTCGCTCGGTAGCTGCGAATATATTTCGCACCTCTAATTAGCACAGTTGGCTACGTACGGCGAGAAAGAAATTCAACGTACATACACTCACACAGAGACCAATAAACTCACTACACAGAGACCCATAGACTCACTCAGAGACCCATAGTTTATTGTCCTTCCCCTGCAACTCCGATCAGTATGGTTGGCTATGTAAGTATATAGTCATCGTACAGCGTCGCGGGATGCAATTAGCATGAACGATGCTATATCAAATGGAATTATCACGCGTTGTTAAGCGTGACCGTTGGTGAAGAATACGGAAACGACGACTGAAGAGTGCGCCAAGAAGCGTGGGGAGCGGCAAGCTTGCACCGAGAGACGGAAAGAGGAACACAGGTTCGTGACCTCATCAAACTGAAAGTGGGCTTGGACAGCGGGCGAGGCCCAACGGTCAAAAAAGAGTGGCAAGCCGAGGAACGGACCGCGCACCGAGGAGGAGATGGAGCGACAAAAGGAGTTCGCGTGCAACAGGTGCCGGGTGGATTATCGCATCACAGGATCACAAGCGGTGATGGCAGTGGTGACGGCCTGGGGGAGGAACTTCATCCAGAAGTGGATTGACCACGGCCAATGATGATTTACGACGATGATGACGTTGACAGTTGAAAGCAGGTGATTAGCGAGTAGGCAATGTGACCTGAATTGTCTGAGCAAACGCGATGGCTTGGTGACACTGTGCTTCGCAGTCCTGGTCGCTCTCACGCGAGCGTGACCGCGCTTGTACACAGCTGCGCAAAGCGCGAGGGAACAAACGGAAAACAACGCAAACGAGACAGGCCAAGTCGACCGCCGAATCAAAGTGTGACCCCAAAATCGTGGAAATTATCCAATTGGTGGAGGAATGAACCATTCCACAATCACACACGTATACATATATATTAAAAAAAAACACATGGACCCATAGAGACTGTTGGCGGAAGTGATGTTAGCGAGGACCAATTAAGGTCGGCACGTTGCACAAGGGCATGTGATGTAGCCCACCATACCCAACCACCTAGTCGCCTGTCTCCCCAATACTGATGTCTACACACCTCGCCAGGTACTCATTTGAGGCCAAGTCAACCTAGGGGAGACCCGGGACAGCTTCTGCAATTCGTCACCAATGTTGGCCGTGAGTTGGAACCGAACGAGGGTGGCCGGGTTCGCAGAGCAGTGCAATAACTACCTCGGTACCCGCTCGTCCACCGTTCCGTGCACACACACAAAAAGACAAAGATCCCCCATATTGCCCTAACAGACTGTTGGGGCAAGTGTTGTGCTCATTTAATTTAATGCTCAGTCGACCGAGGGGTAGACTGCTTAGGACCGGTTCAGATATCTGTCCACGAAGTTGGCCACGAGCGAGAATCGAACTCAGGTCGCCGGGTTTGTTGCGCAGCGTGCAAACTCCTGCGCCGACCGCTTCCCCACTATTTGAATAACAATCGCACACACACACACAGATGTCTATAAACACGCGCGTATATATACACACAAACACGTGACATCATTTTATTGGGGAAAAAGCAGCGTGCTCTTCTTTGGCATTGGGGGGTCGATACGTCACATCCAGAAATAGCATCACAGCCACAGTTTCCTGGGTAGAGGTCTCCCTCCCTTCTCACTCCCTCCCTCCTTCCCTCCAGCACGCACACAATGACAAAGATCCCCCGTATAACCATAAAAGACTGTTGGGGCAAGTGTTGCTAGCGAACAGCACCAATGAAGGCTGACACGGCACACGATGGGGGTGGGCGGCCAGCACCACGCCCGGCCGCCTTTGTCTCCCCCAGTGGCGATGTTTACACACCGCACCAGGTACTCATTTGAGGCCGAGTCGATCTAGGGGAGGGCCCAGGACCGGTTCAGATAACCGTCACTTGTGTTTGACTACGAGCGGGAATCGAACTCGGGTCAACGGGCTTGTAGCATGGCGCACTAACCATTACGCACGCTCACACGTGTTTGGCACGGGGCGCGAGAAAAACACTCGCACAAGCGGCGGGGGGGGGGGGACAAAGCACGTGCCACGAAGACGTAAACACGGGCGCACACGCGCGCGGCGCACGGGAGAAGAGAGGGCGGCACGCCGTAGGGGAGCAACCGCAAGCAACAACCGCGGGCAACCTCAAGGAAATAGGTATAGTGAGCGACGTGTTGAGAAGCTGTCCGGCAATCGCGTGCGTCCGTTAATGGCCACGGGGGAGGGGGGGGGGGGAAACTGCGAGCGACCTCGAAAGGACGGGGGAACAACCGCGAGAGGTCAGCAAACCTGCCCCCCAGTGAGCAACCAAGCGCGGCCATCGACAACCGCGCGCAACCACACGTGCTCGTGGGAAGCCCAGAAGTGACCCAGACCCAACCGCGAGCAACTTCACGCAACCCAATCACTCGCGGCAAGAACTGCGAGCGACCTCGCGCGAAATAAAACCCTGCACGCGAAGCCAGCGGTGAACAGCCGTCGTGCGGGCAGCCGCACGACAACACCGGGGCGGGCCCCCGAGCCACGCGCCACCTCTCGCGAAGAGCAACAAGTCTCGCGCCGCAGGAGCGAAGCGACTCCCGAGAACATTTGCCCTGGGCTAGGGCTCTGACGAGCGAACGCGCAACACCGGGCAACCTCGACGCAACCGTCCTCGTACGTAGACGTGAGGGAGCGGACGCCCGCACACCCTCGCACTCCCACTGTCGCTTGCACTCCCACACTTCTCTCGCTCTCTCTCCCTCGCACTCCCACTCTCGCTTGCACTCTCTTTCGCACTCCCACTGTCGCTTGCACTCCCACACTTCTCTCGCTCTCTCTCCCTCGCACTCCCACTCTCGCTTGCACTCTCTTTCGCACTCCCACTGTCGCTTGCACTCTCTTTCGCACTCCCACTGTCGCTTGCACTCCCACACTTCTCTTAACACTCTCTTTCGCACTCCCACTGTCGCTTGCACTCGCACCCCCTCTCTCACTCGCTCCTGCACTCCTCTCTCACGCACACAGCCTTGCACACCCATCACGCACTCTCATCCCGCACACTCACTCACACTCGAACCCGCTGGCTGGCTCACCTTGAGAGCCTTGTTCACCTTGCTGCTATTGCTGTTTGTCGTCATGCCACGAAGACTGGCAGTGCAGAGAAGGCCTCACTGCGGGTCGAGAAGAGAGAGAAAGGTCGGGATGGGGCGGGAGGACAAGGGGAGAGGGACCGGGGGTCAAACACGCGTTTGTTCTTACCATTGCTGCATGCTGCAAATGATCCGCTCGTGCAGCACACCGCAAATGATGAATCTCCATTTGTGTTCCACACGAAAGATGACGGATGGTCAACGTGAGTGCACACATTTGTTGCTGCTGCATGCTCCAATTGATTCCCTTGTGTTGCACGCTGGAAATTGATACTCTATTTCTGTTCGCTACAAGAAGGGAGAACCAATTGGTAAACACTGCTATATACACATTATATTTAATGCCAAATGCTGAAAATTATTCTCTATTTCTAGTCGACACAAAAGAGGAGAGGGACAAACGGTGTAACACCGGTGCACTCATTTGCCGCTGCTGCATGCTGCAAGTGATTCCCCAGCGCTGTGCGCTGCAAATAATTCTCCTGTGTGGAAAGCTTCCCCATTACACAGCAGCATCAGCATCAGGAAGGCACGCTTCCTGCCGCAAACGCTTGTCGCTGGGTCTCGGCGGAAATGCCCGAGGCTCAGAGAACCATACCAAGGCCTTCGGACGGGAGAAGACGACAACAACGCGTGTCACACGCGCGCACATGCACACGTACAAACAATAGCAAAGATCCCCCCCGTGTAGCCTGCACAGGCGGTTGGGACAAGTTCCGTAAGCGAGAGCCGATTAAGGCCGGCACGGCACATGAGGGAAGTGGGTGGCCAGCACCACGCCCGGCCGCATTCGTCTCGCCAGTGCTGATGTTTAAACACGGCACCAGGTACCCATTTATGGCCGAGTCCACCCAAGGGTGGCCCATTACCGATTCAGACAGTTACCGGTATGGTGCAGTGGGAGAGAGTCAAACTCGGGTCGCCTGGTTTGTAACGAAGCGCGCTAACCACCACACTAGTGCTCCCCACTGCACACACCTGTGCTCGCGCGCACAGGTGTGCACGCACCTGTGCGCACCTGTGCGCGCGAGCGTACACCTCAATGGCCGGAGCTGAGGCTGAGGGGGAATTTTCTGAGCGACGTTCGCAAAAGGGGAAATCAAAACGCAAAGCCACTTCCGTGAGGTTTTTGCTGGAAAGCTGGAGAGAGCAGCAGCCCTGCTTTTACCAAGCCCTCCACGTGGCCACTTCATCCCGAGAAACTGTGGAATATTGACGCACGGAACCCGAGCAAATCGCACTGCCGTGGTGCACGCACGCACACACGCACGCACACACGACCCAGTACAAAGACCCCCCGTGTAGCCTTAACAGACTGTTGAGGCAAGTGCTGTTAGCAAGCACCTACGAGATATCCTAATCCTCTAGCACATACACGCACATGACCCAGAACTTTGGTGAGGGAAACTAACCTCTAACCCTCTAGCACACAGACACACACGACCCAGTGAGAACCACGATGACACGTGGGATAGCCACTGTTGTGATTAATGAATAAACAGCCCCTCCCACACGCAGCAATGGGGGGGGGGCGGTGGCGGGGAGGGGGTGCAAGGTGAAGTGCTGGACATTGGGGCCAGAGCAACGGCCGCAACAGGGAAAATAAATACACAAGAATTACATCTGAGCTGATAAGAGGGACTCCCACCGAACTCCCCGGCCAGTTTGCCTGCCGGCCCACCTACCCGCCCGCCCGCCCACCCACAGGACTACGAACTCACCCACCCACCTACCCACTCGTCTGCCCGCCCGCCCGCCCGCCTTTGAGGAACTACATCCACAATGGCCAACCGACCTTCCACACCAAACCGCCACCCCCAGCCCATCACGTACTCGCAGCACTCGCACCCAGAGACAAAGATCCACCCACCCCGTGTAGCCTACGCGGGTTGTTGGGGCCAGCGCTCTTACCGAGAACCCACGAAGGCCATCGGCACACCTATGAGGGCGGTGTGACCAGCACCACGCCCGGCCGGGCCACCTCCCGACTCCCCAGCGGTCATATTTAACACACCGCACCGGGTACTCATTTGAGGCTGAGTCAACCTAGGAGAGGCCCAGTACCGGTTCAGATAATCGCCACTGGTGTTGGCCGTGAGTGGAAATCGAACTCAGGTGGCCAGGTTCATAGCGTAGCGCGCTAACCGCTACACTAACGCTTCCCACCATTCCGCGTACACACACGCTCGCACGCTCGCCAAAAGCACATGGCACTGGCAGACGAGACAGACTGGCGAATGTTTTGGCGGTGGCGTTGGGAGCGAGTGGAGATTCTTACGGCTGTTGAGGGGTTTCCGCTTTGGGGGTTTTTTTTCCTCGACTAAGTACCTAGCAAGTATCCCCGTGAAAAACGGGGCTCGGAAATTCGAAAAGACCAGCGACAAAATTTATACCGCAACTTCTTTAAAGAGGGCATCCAATTCAAGTGCAAAACAGCTGGATGTGGAGTTTACACATGCCAATTTTATTTATTTTGGTTTCAACCGAATTATATAAGGCATCAGCGAATGAGAAAGAGTTATCAAACGGCGCTCCGAAACCGACGGGCCGAGTTCGACTCCCCGGCCCTCCGAGATTGACGCCAAGTGCCAAGTGGTCACTTGAACCGGTCCAAGGGCTGGCCGCCTTCACCGAAATCCTCGCACTGACCAACGTCGTGAAGGACGGCCGCACGACCTCCATAACCGACACGACGGCACGTTGTGCGGGGTCCTTTCATCCAGCAGTGGATTGACAACGTACTGTAAGTTTCTGTGTAAGAATGGTGACGGAGGAATATTTGTTTTAAATGCAAAGTGGAGCAATATCTCCTGCGGTACTTCCAAATGGAAAGTGGTGAGTGAGGCAGCTGTAGCTGTGGTTGACACGGGGGGGGGGGGGGCAAGGCTGGTGTGATCAATGATGTTGAAATGACGATGTTGCTTCATCACACGGGAAGTGGAGATGGGAGGGATTGAGATGATGCTCAACGTCCTAGTACTCAGTGTCACACCATCAGACGCTAGCTCGAAAACACCAACGCATCACAGTGGTGTGACTGAGTGTGGTGGTGTGATATCGAGTGGTATTGTCACCTTTTCTGTACTGCACTATCACACACTCACCCATGAACACCATAGCATAACATACGCAAAAACACATACACATTATATACCTGTACAACATTCCAGCATACGTGAACGAGACAAAGATCCCCGTATAGCCTACAAAGACTGTAGGGGCAAGTGCTGTTAGCGAGCACCTATGAAGGCCGGCACGGCACACGAGAGGGTGGGTGGCCAGCACCACGCCCGGCCGCCTTTGTCTCCCTAGTGGCGATGTCCACTACACACCGCACCAGGTACTCATTGACGCTGAGTCGACCTAGGGGAGGCCCAGGACCGGTTCAGATAATCGTCACTGATGTTGGCCGTGAGCGGGAATCCAACTCGGGTCGCCGGGTTCGTAGTGCAGCACGCTAACCACTGCGCCACCGCTCCTCATCTGTACAACAATCATGCATAAATGAACACACACATACGTGCTACAATACCTATGCATGTGTGCATACGAAACGTTGAGTAGGCTATGCATGCACGCGCATCATGTGATTGTTGTGCATGTATGGTCAGCGCACGCAGTTTCACGCACACAGACAACATTGCGTCAGTGAGAAATGTGCGATCGTTTAAGGCCAGAACAGAGAAACCAGGAGCACATTGCGTGGCACGTGACTCACAGCAACACTGCACCAAGTTCACCAGCACGTGTACGTACTCGCCAACTCTGTAACATCGCCTTTGTACCACAGGTAGAACTGCTTTTTGTGTTTCAACTCTTGTCCTTCCACCGCACTGCTGATTAGCAAGGTTGGCTACGTACGATGGGAAAGAAGTTCAACATACATACGCTCACACAGGTGGGGACCAAGGACGTGGCACCTGCGGTAAAAAGACGATGTTACATAGTATGCACAGGTAATCTCCCAGAACGACAACTGAAACAATGGAGGTTTCTGAAATTCCGATCCTCCTCCTCCTCTTCCCACCACGACCTCTGCCAAGACGGTAGGTCTCAATGAAGGGGGACATCAAACTTTATTGGTTGGCAGGTCGGGTGTGGTATGTACGTATATGTATGTTGAAATTATTTTGCACCGTACGTAGCCAACCGTGCTAATGGGAGGTGCGGGGTAAGGACGACAAACTAAAGACACAAAGCTGTTGTGAAGAAATTCGTTTTCAATCTAAAGTGTGGGTAGGCCCACCTCCTCCAATACGTTTTGCTCAACGTGGAAGAGTAGGCCAAAGACTCTCCAGAGCTCACTCTAGTGCAGACCCCTTCCACCAGCAGTGGCATGAGTAAGCAATTGCAAGGCTGCACATGAACTGTCTACACACAGTTATTATACACACAGTTATACACAGGCACAGCGATACTGTATGCAGGCACGCTGTGCTATAGACACGCAATTTATCATAATATAGAGCGTAAACAATAAACATGGTACATTAACATGTCCTACTGACAGCTGTAAGACACCACATTCACACAAGACACTAAACGTGAGTCACACACCCATACATGGTGTATCACACCCCATACTGCTTACCTTGCCCACGCACATATCATGCACACCAAAGACACACATAATACATACACACTTCACCCCACCCACACCCATCCCCTCAACTTCACACGCACACCTCCACATATACCTCAATATATATAAACACAATACACTATCCCAACACACACCACACACACACACCATGCAGCTTCAAACACACCCAAAACACACACACACCATGCATGCCCCACACACACCACACACACACCATGCATGCATCACACACACACATGCATGCCCCACACACACACCATGCATGCATGCCCCACACACACACATGCATGCCCCAAACACACCACACACACACACCATGTAGCCTCAAACACACCCAAAACACACACACAATGCATGCCCCACACACACCACACACACCATGCATGCCCCACACACACCACACACACACGCACCATGCATGCCCCACACACACCACACACACACCATGCATGCCCCACACACACCACACACACCACACACACACCATGCATGCTCCACACACACACCACACACACCATGCATGCCCCACACACACACACCATGCATGCCCCACACACACCACACACACACACCATGCATGCCCCACACGCACCACACACACACCATGCATGCCCCAAACACACCACACACACACACCATGTAGCCTCAAACACACCCAAAACACACACACAATGCATGCCCCACACACACCACACACACCATGCATGCCCCACACACACACCATGCATGCCCCACACACACCACACACACACGCACCATGCATGCCCCACACACACCACACACACCACACACACACACCATGCATGCCCCACACACACACACCATGCATGCCCCACACGCACCACACACACACCATGCATGCCCCACACACACCACACACACACACCACACACACCATGCATGCCCCCCACACACACCACACACACCCATGCATGCCCCACACACACACCACACACACCATGCATGCCCCACACACACAGCACACACACCATGCATGCCCCACACACACCACACACACGCACCATGCATGCCCCACACACACCACACACACACACCATGCATGCTCCACACACACACACACACACCATGCATGCCCCACACACACAGCACACACACCATGCATGCTCCACACACACACCACACACACACCATGCATGCCCCACACACACCACACACACACCATGCATGCCCCACACACACCACACACACACCATGCATGCCCCACACACACCACACACACACCATGCATGCCCCACACAAACCCAACGCACATCCCACACACACACAATCCCCCCACACACCGACCCATAAATGATCGGGGTTGCCGCGATATCGTGTTTCACGATACGATATAAATTTCACGATACGGCGATTATCACGATATCGGAGTCCCTTTACGTGTGCACGGCGCGTACACGAATGGGGAAGTTCTATATCCTCGCGTGCTTTCATGTACATCGAGTACCAATTACAATGACTTCGTAAACGTTATTAAATAGTAGTTTAACATCAGCCTGCCCAAAGTTTCTCTCACTATTGCAACTTGACAATCTGCGATGATTATTATAACTTGTAAGATTGCGTAATGTGCCGGCAATTTACCCGTCCTAATTTAATGAGCAATACACGTGTATTTATTTACAGCATTAATTTGTATTTTTTCTTTTGGTCGACGTAGATGTTCCGAGTTGTATATGTTGCGATATGGCGATATCTTGCCCAAATCTGACGATTATCGTAAGATTCCTCGTATATATCGTAAGATACCTCGTATATATATTCGCCGAACTGGGTCACCCAAAATGACAACAGAAATGTAAAACAATAAATACCTCGCAGATGATTCAATTGTGGGTTTTTTGTTATGTAAAACAATTGCGTCACGTGATGTGCAAACATATCGTTCGATATATCGATACATCGATACATCGCGGTATCGCTGCACGCTCACACCGTTACGTCAAAAGCTAAAGGACTTAACTCCCACACGACAGCAGTACACAAAAGCACTTTATAAACACAACTGTAAGAAGAAATTTTTTTACGATTATCGCGGATAAATAATAAATATCGTCACGA